TTTTTTTTTTTTTTTTTTTTTTTTTTTTTTTTTTAAAGAAAGAGAAGAAAGAAGAATAAATAAATAATAAAAAAGAAGAAGATAAGACGAGAGACCACCATGACAAAACAACATGCACAGCACAATGCCACCCACAATATCACCATGAAACATTCAACATCGCACAATGAATCATCTAGCTTCCGCCACTACCCAACCTAGCGTGCATCTGTCAAAGCACCTGAATCCAAACACCCGCGCAAGCACGCCCACCACCACCAGATTTCTCCAAAAGAATGCCCAATAGTGGACGCGGGGGCCCACAGACCCGCCCCCCCAGGACACAATGGCAACATAGGGAGGACCGGAGCCACAGACACACAGCGGCCCACAGGCCCGGAGCCCCAAGAGTCTCCCAACAGGGAGAACCGCACCCCACCAGAGAGGAGCAGAGGAAAGAACCGGGTGACCCCAGCCACCACAATGCAGAGCCTCCAGGAAGCTGCAACGACGAGCCCACAGGCCCGGCCAGCGACCCATGCCCCCCCCAAGTAGATCCGGCCATGGACACCGAGCCCCAAGCCCCGAGGCCATACCACCCCCTAGCAGAGCCCCGACAGAGCCAGGGCACCCAGGCCCCGCCAGGCAGCAACCAGGGCGGACCGACGTGCACCCCACCACCCAGCCCAGACACCGAGAGCCACCAATGCACCGGCGGCAAGGGAGTCCCCCGCCAAAGGGGGGCACGACCGGGGGGAGTGGACCCCACACCAAACGTGGGGCCCAAATTGATCCAAGAGAGGGGGGACCACCAAAAACCCAACCCGAGCAACCAACAGGCACACACAGATAGCCCGACAGAATCTCTGTCGGGCCGACCGCATGCACCATCTACCTGACAGCGACCACAGGCCGGCCCCAGCCCAAGGGGCAGAGCAGCAGGGAGCCGCAGCCGAGGAGGGCCGGCTCTCACATCAAGAGCCCCGCACCATAGGCCCGGAGACGCCCCAGCACGCCACCCATGCACCCCCCCCACACACAGAGCACCCCCACCGCAAATGTCACACAGGAAGACCAGCCAGTGCCCCGATGAGGCGAAGCCACGCCCCCAACCGCCGCCCTACACCACCAATGACCACACGTACACTACCATAGCCGACCCCCCGCCAAAAGCCGGCAGCCACCCCGGTCAGAGTGCCGGCCATCGCAACCAGGAACCTAGATTAAAAGAATCGGAACAGCCCAGGAGGAACCGAAGCACCGGCCCCAACACTGACCGCCCCCAAGGCCCAAAGCCCACCCACAGCCCAGACCCCAACAATGCGCCCCCCCCCCCCTCCATCCCCGACCCCTAGTGTCACACATGTACATTTGTAATCCAAGCCTTGTACAATAATCTGTAATGCACCTCAGTCCACACTGTACCTTGGCCTGCTTTGTACCAACTTCAGCATCCATCCCATCATATAAGGTGTCTTTTAGACCTAGACATGTTTTATGTTAGAGGAGAGCTCCCTTGCAGGAGTCAAAAAAACAGCTCTACCACTCTACATGTTTTGACATGCCTACAACAAAATTAAGAATTGTTTGGGTTTTATCGATTGTCCATTTCAAAATGCTAATTTTACAATTTCAGTTCAGATTTTCACAATTACACCTATTGAATGACTTTTACTGTTGATAGCTTGCAGAGAGAACAATCTGTGCTGTGTTGCTGTAAATTGTTTAAACAGTAGTCCCTCAATAATTGTGTTCAACTTTTGCAGACTCACTCTTTTGCGGGTTTTCAAAGTAAGATTGTGCACGTTGTTTCCCGGTGGCCTGGCCCGCTCAGCGATCGCCAAGCCCACCCCCCTCCTTTCTCTTTCTGAGGATGTCCATCACAGCAGAGAAGATAAACACAACAGGCGGGTACACTTCCTATGACAGACAGCCTCAGAAACAGAAAGGAGGGGACAGGGTGGGGTCTTGCTTTCCCCATCGCTGCTGTGGGAGCTTCAGTGAGACGGACACCAGAGTGAGCGGTATGAATTGTTTATTTAAAAATAATCAAGCGCGACCCAAACTAAGCCTTACCTCAAACTGAGCTGACCCGACTCAAACCAAGCCGGGACATTTCCTGAGCCAGGAAACTGAACCGGAAAATGTTCCAGTGCTCCCGATGGCCAGTCTATATATATATATATATATATATATATATATATATATATATATATAT